GCCGCGGCTGCTCCGGCTCCTCTGTCAGCCGCGCCGCCGCCGCCTCCTCTGCCGCCGGCAGGAGGAGTTCTTCTCCCGATCGCCACCTGCTTTCTCCTCCTTAAGCCGCCGGCGCAGGCCAGGGAGGGAGGGAGGGAGGGAGAGAAAGAAAGAAGACGGAGCCCTCTCTGGCGCTCGGAGCAAAGTCTGAATGAGAGGCGCGGGGCTCCGCCACTTTTTCAGCCGAGCCTCTCGCCCCGCCCGCCGGCCTCCTGCCCCGCGTTCCCTCGAGAGCACCGGGAAGGGAGGGCGCGGAGGGGCCACGAGCGGCCCCTTTCGTCCCGCGGCAGCCCGCTGGCCACGGAGCCACCCCGGGCGTCAGCGCCAGGCTGCTGCAACGCGTGCGCTCCCTGCCTTGGCAAGGGAGGGAGGGCCCCACGGATCGACCGCAGCGGCATCGTTTCTAGGGTGACCCGGCCGTCTCACTGGATCCCGCTTCTGAAGCGCATCCTTCCAAGAACTAACTGTACGGGGGAGGTCGGGGGCAGCAATTTCAACGGGCTCGAGCATGCTGGCTCGAATCCCGTGATAACCTTACAAATATAGCATAGGTACTTGGGTATAAGCGCCACACCGAACTATTGAGATCAAACTTGCCCCATGCCACGGGAGTTCAGCGTCGCTTTTTCCTAAGTACAGTAATCTTCGCGTCCATCCATGCACAGCCCTCTGCACCCTGTGATCCTAAAGCGCATTTGAACAGGGTTTCTTTGCTCTTCAAGGAAAAGCTTGTTTCTTTCGGTCAAGGAGATGAGGGACGGGTCTCCTTAAACCATAATGCATAGTGGGCCCGCCACAAATGGAGAACAGGGCTTATTGGGTCTTTTAACAGTTGTGTAAAAAAAAAAAAGCGTTAGAGTTCAGCAGAAGTAGCTGGCCACGCTGTCATTTCTGCTGCTCCGCGCTGCAAAAGGTGCAAGAGCTCCAAGCCTTCTTTTCCTGCGGCCGACCCAATAAAGCGGCCGGGCTACAGGGCGAGCAATCCATAGGACCGGCGACCAAAAAAATAAAAATAAAAAAGGATGAAGGGGGCCCACCGGCCCACACCGGCTTTGACAGCCTGGGGCTTCAACGCTCCTCAGCACCGTGGGTGAGAGTCCTGCACTTCACGCGGGACATTTTCATCCCGCGCCCGCGTCTCTTCCCTCTCCTGCGCAACGACGGAAAGGGCGTCAGGAGCCCGCGGCCCACCCCGGCAGCTGGCCGGCCGGCCTGCGAGGTCGACGGAGCGGCCCGGAGACCCCCTTGCCGCGCCGCCCGGAA